CCCCCCCGCCCCGCGGCCCGGCGCTGCGCGGCGGCCAGCGGAGGCTCCGCGGTGCGGGGGAACTTGACACCCGCACGGCCGGGGCCATGGGCGCTGGGCCGTGGGCCCGGGAAAGTTAGAAGTCCATGTTCCAGTAATTGTCTTGTTGTTTATTTTATCCAAGTACCCTGGTGAATAGGGGAAAAATAAACACGATGAAAAAAAATTCAAACAGTTGAGTCGTCTTTAGTGCCAGCCCTTGTGGTTGAATAAAAAGGATGGTCCAATTTCTATTGAGCTGAGAAATCTTTGAAGTGGGAGTTATTATCTGAGAAATTCCTGCTCGTCGTCCTAACAACGCTGATGAAACGTAAAAGGTTCTTTGTCAGCGATTTGTTCTCCTCTCTGTCAAACTCACCCTGCCCGTTAGCTTTAAACCGTTTCTAAAGAGATAAAATCAAACTTTTAAAGATAACTTTAGGGGCCCAGAGGGTGCAGAAAATACCAAACTACCGAATCCCATGTATAGACATACATCTGGATATATGTGGCTGTGTCTGTGTGAAACTCTGTGTACAGATCTCTATAGATGTCTGTATGACCTTACTGTTCGAAAGTTGAAATGATGTCCATTTTTTTGCATTTTTATCCTCTGAACTTTTCCGTCTAATAAATTATTCCTACACATATGCTGCACAGAATGCGATTCTTGGGAGAAGGCAGAAATGTTGGGTTTCATTAACACCAGTATGTGACCAACAAACGTTTTCTTTCCAGTAGAGTGAAAGCAAGAGGGTAGACATAAGAGTAAAGGCTTTGATCATTTTAACAGTCCGAATACCTATTAAGCATGTATATACTGCAATGTATCGAAGTTGTTAACGCGTTCAAAGCGATGGTTTCCATATGCTCTCATGTTTTATTGTCCGTAAGTGTAAAGATAGTCAAACTGCATCCCTTTTGTATCTTCATTTTCTAAACACCACGGTGTATACTGAAATGATTCCCCGAGCAAGGTTTATTTAGTAGTTTCTCATTGGAGGTCATGAAATGCTCTGTTCGTAACACGAATTCCTTGAAGTTGTAACTCATCGGTGTACTTCTGTTTTAGTTGCTACAGAATGATCTGAGCCCAATCCTGCCATTCTAAGCAACCCCATTAATTTAATGGGACTTTTCCTGAGTAAAGACCCAGTCAAACTGCAGTGGAGTGGGTATTATTATTATTATTGTTGTTATTATTAATCCTGGATCTTGTCATATTTATGGGAAACCCTACGACATTCCTTGTGAACTGTACAGAGAAGAAACGCCTCTGAAAAATGTAGCTCGCAAAAAACATTTGCAATGTTGATATGCTGTATCTCTTTCCAGACTTCTTCTATTCCGTATTTTCCTTCAGCACATGTTTGGTAATGAAGGAATGTTCTGTTGTGTGTTTGAACATACTATTTATTTTTAATATTTGGATTTTTTTACAATAAATATTTATAAACGTTTCAATTCTATGGTTATTTTTACAAACGTGCACTTTTGAAAGATGTGTTTGTACTGATGATACCGAGCCATTCCTAAAACACTGTGTAGTCAACCTTGTCTTTCTGTTGGTTTTTATATTAGTTGAAAAAATTTTTCCTCAAACCGGTGTACTATTAACGTGGTGTACAATCAAGTACTAATGCGTGGTTTTTGTTGGTCTTTAACCTCTTTTGATGTTAATCGTTTTAGGCTGGCATTTGCATTAAAAGAACAAAACAAAACACTTTGGCTTTATTTCTGAGATAGCATGTTTTCGGCTCGGAGGCTTCAAACGCATCAGTTCTTTAAACAGTGCCCGAGGTGCGGCGTGCGAAAGCCGCGCCCGGTGTCACCCAGCGGAGCCCTGTCCCTTTGTTGTCCCCCGGGTACCTCTGCAGCGGCACCCTGACTCCTGCCCAGGCAGTTTGCGGCTCCGGGGTCCCCCAGGCTCCGGATATTGGGGAGAGCTCCCGGCCGAGGCCGCCCCCGAAGGCCGCTGCTGCCCCCGCCCCGAGGGGTTCTTGTTTGGGCAGGGCGGGGGAGGGATGAAACTGCTCGTTTGAAGAATTGCCCCCCCCAAATGTGTCCCTGTCACGGTGACACTTTTTCTAAGGTTCCTAGGAGAGTTTAGAGCATTTTATTTCTTTTTAAGAGAGGAAATTCATTCGTCAGCTAAAGCAATCTGAAGGTAAGCCTTCTTCGCCTTGAATATTCCCCTAACCGGTTTTAATACGTTGCAGGGTTTCGCAGCTCCCCAGCATGCTCGGAGTTTTCTTCGCATGACTTTTTAAACCTCAGCTTTGCAATCTGGGGGGATGCAGCAGCCTTGGGCACGCAGCGGCCCTAACCCCGGCGGGCGCCGCGCGCATGCGCGCTGCCTTCCCTCCTCTTAAAAACGGAAAACTTGAAAGAAGTTGCCTAACACAGAGAGATGACAAAAAGTTGGCTTCGGCTGGTAGGAATATTGTCAATAAAGAATACATTTGACTACAGAAAGAGAGAGAGAGAGAGAAAGAAAATAATTACAGAAAGAAAAGAATTCAAGAAAAAGAACCGAAGGAAAATATTTTTGCTGGTCTGTAAAAGACAAAAAAATGGCCCATAAAGGAAAGGAGGGCTAACAGTACATGCTAATTAAAGAATACAATTCTATGGTCTATAATGATTGAGCGAAGACATGTACTTATTACACTTGACTGTCAACAAGGGAAGGAATGTCCCCTCAGACAACATGGTGAGAGACGTGTGGGCATTATTAGTGGTCCTTTTATAGACATTGCCTTTTCTTTCTCAATGCTGACAAACCATTTTGGAGGGAACCATCCCCTGTTGCTTCCTATCATCGATCCCCATGCAAGCCCCTGCATTGTGCAAGTGCATTAATTAAAGACCATTCATTTAACAAAAGAACATTGTATGTTCAGGAAAGGAAGATTAGAAATATGAATCAGTAACCGAGACCCGTTTCCGCCGCCTTATCGGGAGAAGCGGAGGGGAAGGCGGCGCGGCGTGCGGTTAAACACCCTGCACCTCCCCAGCCTGAGCGGGGGCTCAGCCACCATTTAGGCTCTTTGGGACAGAAACCCTGAAATGGATTACAACTGGGGGGGGAAAGGAAAAAAAAAAAAGGTTGTTGTCAAGTGTCTCTGTGTGCGTGGGATGGCTTAGCACCCGGCCCCGCCGCCGCCTCCCGGGGCCGGACCCCCCCTACCCGGGTGCCACCGCGTCCAGGGCTGGTGTGTGCGTGTGGACACACATCCCCACGCACATTTGTTGTGTCAACGGTTTTTTTCCAGCTGCACGTAGAGGCACAGGCACACAGACGTGCGCCCATCCCTCCCCGTCCCTTCGCTGCCTGGATTTTTCCAGTCCGAAGGAAAAACCAGCTGGTCCCCCAAAGCCGGTCGTGACACGAGCGTGACTTATCGTGAGAAGGTAGAAGGAGAGCGGAGGGAAGCGAAGGTTATGCGGGAGTGGGGGAAGGAGAGAAGTCGGATTCCCAGTATCACCCACATGACTTGCTAAGCGGCTCCAGCTTCTCTAAAACCTCTGGGCCATATGTTAGTTTATTTACACCCTTTGTCTTCTCGTGTGTCGTCTGGTGAAAGAATATTCCTGGGATATAAATGAAAGTAAGCTAGAGTAAACAAACAAGGGGAGCGCCTGCTTACGGGATATGTAACATTTCTGAGATCCCACCAGAGCACGTCGTTCCCATGGTTATAATGGGGCCAGAATAGCAATTAAAGCTTTTAGTTAAAACCCCCAGATTTTTAATGCTGAATGACACATTGACTCCATTTTCTCGTTGATGATTTAGAGATTTTGCAGGATTACACTAGGGGAGGACAAGGAGGGGGGACGACAAAAGTCACCGCAAAAACAACTCTTTATCAGTAAAAAAAAAAAAAAAAAAAGGCACAACAGATTAAGGTGTTCCTAATGATGGCAACAGCTCAGAGAAACCTCTGCAGCTTTCCCGTGAGGCTGAATTTGTTCTCAACTTCTGCGTTTGGAGCTACCCCGCTCCGAGGCGAGGACCGCGCTAGCTCGCCTGGATCAGGCGACGAGAGCCCGCGGCTTCGGGCACCAGCTCCCGCGCTTGGAAATCCCCGCATCAGCTTCGTTTTCTTCTTCTTCAACGGCGGCAGTCAACCCCATGGCCGGGCCGGAGCACGCCGGGCTACGAGGAAACCTTTTTCCTAAAATAAACAGGACGCTCTAACAAATCGGCCGATTTTTATTTTTTTTTCTTTTCCCCCAAGTCAATGTTACCCAGAGGATCGGCTCATGACTGCTGCAGAACCTCTCTCCGGGTCCCCGTGCTGGTGTGCGCGGACTGGGGAAGCCCCCCCGGGGTGCGGGGCTGAGCGCCCGGGGAGCGGC